ATGGATCATGGAGCTAATTTGAATAGCCAGCCATTCTCCGAGTTGTACGAAGTGTTGGGTGTGGTGAAGACAAACACTTTGCCTTATCATCCCCAGTGTCATGGTTTAGTAGAGCAAGTTATACAAACTGTCAAGCAGAGTTTATTCATCCTGGCAGAACCAGTTGGGATAATGCAACAGAGATCAGCTAGTTGTTCACTGAAGATATTTATGTTTGGTTGTAAAATACTGCTCCCTATGAATGTCATATATGGTTTGCCCAAAGAGCAGAAGTGCTGCAGTATTTCCAAGAAATTTGTGGAGTGATTAAGGTCTGCATTGGTTGATGTGCATGAGTGTACATGCCAACAATTAGTGAAAACTATTGTACACCAGAAGAGATGCTATAATAAAACAGTTAAGGAACTAACATTCCACTATAGAGACTGGGTATGGCTTTGGCACATTCCAGTGGTACAGAAGCAGCTTGGGCTTGGCTAGACAGGTCCTTATCTTGTACTCCCACAAATTGATCCATTGATATATGAGATACAACTGTTGCATATCATACAAGTATATGTGAAATACATCAACAAAGTAATGTCATATGTTGCTGATGAACATCTTGTGCATTGGTTAGTTGGGGAATCAGAGGTTGAGACTGACAATTCAGCAAATGATGAGTGGTTTTTTCATGTCATCTTGGCTCGGCTGATGAGGAAAAGAATCTGGCCGTAGCAGATGAGTCTGATAAGGAAGTACCTGGTGAATAGGTGCAAGATTGCTCTAGTGGCCACCCAAGAAGATAACTTCCTGATCACTATGACTGGAATTGACTGCCGAACCACCAGTAAGATCACTGATTGAAAGAAAGTGGCATTCCTTGCTTTCTAAGCTATTAAATGGTGTTTTACTATGTAATGTATGCACAAACTGTGTAATTGACACTTGACTTTTACAAAGTGAGGACAATTTGTTAACCCTCTCCCTATAGGTCACGGGTCAAAGGCCATGTTATCACGTTTTTTGACTTGCATTCAAAATTTTATTGAACTACTGTTTCTTG